TGATCATTTGCTTTTATCATTGTAAGCTACCCAGAATAGTGCATTTCACTAATGGGGCAGTATAGGAATAAAACAAAGAAACAATTTAATCAGCTGTGCTTTGCAGAGTCCACCATCTCTTTAAAAGGAACAAAGAGAAGGAAAAAAATAAATTATTGTTATATCCATAGTGAGGTGTGAAAAACTGCAAATTCTAGTGTGTCATAAATGTTTCACTACAGCAGTGGTTCCTAACCTTGGGTAAACCTAGGTGTTCTTGGACTGCAGCTCCCCAGCACACCTGGTGGTGAAGGCTTCTGCAAGTTGCAGTCCAAGAACACCTGGTTGTGACAAACCCAGACCTACTGGGATCTGTCACACAGTTACACTAAGCTGCCACCAACCATTCCCTTTAAGAAGTCACACAGACCAGGGATGGATTTTTAAACAATAAAAAGAATAAGGTTTATTTAAATACACACAGGGAAAAATAAACAATCAGGTGAATAAGATAAAGTAACGTGGCTTAGTTTCACTCATACATACATACAGTTGGGTTCACCCAGAACCCTTAACTGGAAGCACAGACCCTGAACCTATCAGTTCTGGCTAACCAACAGACACCTGAACCTATCAGGTTGGTACTCTGACACACAGTAGTACCCTGTCTGACACACTGACTCCCACAACAGCTTCTTCTTCCCAGCTGCTGCTTCGTCACAACCCAGTGTCTCACAGTGTCTGTCTCAGCATCTCTCTCTCACCACCCAGGCATCACATATTTATACAGTACAGCCCCTCCTCCTGATGTCCCGCCTTCCACTCCCCATAGGATGGAACTTTCCCTCCAAACCCATGACAGACAGGTAACATCAGTGCTGTTATGTAACAGTGAGATAGGCTTTTGTCTTTTTCTGTAGATGGGTGATTAGTGTGTCTTGTTGTGGGTGTATTGTTGTGCTAAGGAGAAAAGATTGTATGTCACTGTGGTTGATGGGTGTCATTAGCTGGTCTTTTGTGTGTAGTGATCCCCTGTCCTTGTGGCTGGGTAGAGTTCGTTGACCTTTTGCATGCTGTATTTTTGAGAACTTGGCTCCCAGCTAAGGGGACCGAGTGGGACTCAAGCAAATAGTCTATCACTGAATACAGCCCATAGTCCTTATATTTCTCTTATGCTTCAAAGTGGCATTCCTACATATAATTCTTCCATTTTCATTTTTATGGTTCTTCCTTTCTTTTTATTGGATGCCCAATGGCCTACCAAGAAATAAATCTCATGAGGTTTGGTGAAGCTATCTTTCAGAATAAATGTTGGAAGCCTTCCTAAGAGTCTTTAGCAAGAACCCTATTAGTGTTGATGTAAGGTTTGCACAAGCTGTTGCAGCTAATTGTGGCTAACTGAGGAGATGCTAGGGCACATTTCAGTCAAATGCCTAGTCACATGGCCCGTTTTACAACTGATAAGTACTCTGGCACCTCATCAATTAACCAATTGTCCAAATTAGCTTGGACAAGTTATGCAAACCTTACACGAACACGAACAGGATTCTGGCCTTTTGATACTAAACTATTTAGCAGTACTGTATAAATCATTATAAGAATATAAAATTTGTTTCTAAACTACTTTAATTGTATTGATAAGATGGTATTTTATAGAATGCCAACTCAAAACCTGTAGTATATCCAAATATCCCAATAAAGAGTGAACAACATGTATTCAGCATTTTTCTTCTGTAATCCAAGCACGTGGTCTTTGGAACCATGCAAATGTAATTTTAATAAGTATATATAATATTTATTCTACATACCATGGGTTCATTTTATTTTATTTACTGAAATGTATAGGTGAGAGATTCCCACTATATGTGCCATGTGTTTACGAAACTAATTTTCGGAATGAGGAAATTCAAATCCTCTTTCCAGAATCCAGCCTCACAACATAATTGAGGAGTAGGACTGGAGGAGTCATTTAGGTGAAATGCTGCCATCTGTCTGCATTGATCAGAAACGCCCCAAGGACCAACCTTTAAATACAATCTTTTTTGAATGAGGACAAGAATTTAAATCCTGAAAGAGCATGGGCTTCAGGTCCAACAGTTGTAGAATCTGACATTTCCAGTGCATTACGTGTTAGTTTGTTGCAGCAAAAATAACAAAGAACTTTGTGGCACCTTAAAGGTTAACCAAAGTTATTAGACATTAAGCTTTTGTGGTGAGCAGTCTGCAGTCCATGAAAGCTTATGCCAAACAAAATCTGTTAGACAACCACACTTTGCATATCCTACTGTAGTTGAAACGTATTAAATAGGAAAGCCAATCAATTGTTTAAATGGCGTCTATTGCTAAGTTATGCAACCACTAGGATGATGCAAATGTGCGCGTGAGCGTTTTAAGGCCAAGCCAGTTACACTTTTAAAGCTGGGAACATTCATACTTTAGGTAGCACAACAGCAGAAAGGTAGATGGCAGATACACAAGAAGACCCCTGCAGCTGGATCCACCCAAAGATATGTCTAGTCTAGTGTCCTGTTTCCCACAATGACCATCCAGATGCCTTTGGGAAGCCAACAAGCAAGACGTGAGATTAAAATCTTGCTTCAGATGTAATAAGGCACAACATGTTGTCCCTGAGCCCGATTGCTTTTTGTTTATGAATGTGTGCAATCCCCTTTTAAACCTACCTAAATTGTTCTCTTTCTGCAAATCTTCTGGTTGCAAAATCGATTGTTTTCCCTACACGAGTGAAGAAGTATGTCTGTTTCTTTCCACTGAATGTCCCACCATTCAGCTTCATTAGGTGACTCTGGGTGCTAAAGTCTCTCAGTAAACTAGAGGCGCATCAGACAATATTAGAAACCAGATTTGCATTCCATATAGGGAAGAATGAAATACCAATGGTGGGTGCAGGAAGTGAACCTCTTATCATATTATTTTCCTGTCATTTATTCATTGTGAGGTTTTCCTAGGAATATGCTCCCATGTTGACCCATTAATATGTAATGATATTTAGTACCTATTCAAGAACTATGAATCTTAGTTAAATATTAATTTGACCACATGTGGGTGTAGAAAAAGTTCACCTTGGGAGAATGACTAGGAAAAGTCATAACAATGGCAATTTCTTCTGATTGCCTAGGATACAAATTAACCTTTAAACCTATTTTTCTTTAATCAGTTATATGATTATTTATGACATGCTAGATATCTGATTAATAACTTTTGTATTTGAAAGAATCTTCAGAAGACAAAAATTGCATTTACCTGTGGCCTGAAAACCAAATCTCACTATCATTTATAGAAGGACTTCCTGAATACAGAATATTTTTTAATATTGCCATATTTCAGTTCCAAATAAGAATAACACATAAAAAACTGGTTTATTGTGAACTCTTACATCAAATAACTATGAAAATAATATAATCTGTTGACATAAACAAAAGGGTACATTTTTGGTAAAATATCACACGCAGATTAGATATATTACTGTAATCCCTTTTGGGAATTACAAAAGATAGATTTGATTGGGTTCAGGACATTGCTTTAATAATCTTTAATAATCAAATAATTGTGTTGCATGAAGAAGAGATCTGCAGTTTTTAAAAGAGGTGGGCCAAGCCAATTAATAACATGGTTGAAATAAGCAGAACTTAAAATTCCACAGCAGGTATGAGCCATGTCTTCTGATCCAACTTCAGGGTGTGTTTTTGCTTTTCTTTTCCTGTTCAATCGCTGCCAAGAAAATACGAGAAAAATTGTTTGCTAACGTTTGACACCACTAGAGCACTGTGTTCCTGAAGCACTTAACAAACAAACCATCATATTCTTTTGTTCTTATCGTTATGAGTTTGTGCATAAAACACACACACAAGTCTCTTGAAAGTGTAATGTCACCTTCTCTTCCATCGCTAGGAAAGCGAACTATGTTTCTGAATCACAAGCTTCTGCTTTTTACTGCTCCAAGGCGAGCAAAGGAACAGGTTTGCACTGTGTAACACAGAAATGTGCATACTGTAGTTAGAAAAAGCAGGGATTGGTGGATTTACTCTGAACCAGCACTGTTCTGTGTTTTAGAACTGCATGATGTCCCTGATACAGTTAATTCTGAGGCAGAAGAGAGTAACTCAACTACATTCATAGGTCTGCAGCTAGGTGCAATTTCTCACCTTTGACTCTTTTAGCATGGACTGATGGGAGTTGCAACCCAAGAACATTTTGTGGGCTGTACCTTCCCACCCCTCTTCTAAAGTGTTTACTTGTCCTAATTTTATAGCGGGATGGGTGTCACCACGACATTATGTGGACTATTGATTAGCTGGAAGTTCAGGTTTCCTCTGTTATGAGGTTTACTTTGGTGAGTATCTCTCAGCTTTATCTATCTCACAGTCTTGTTGCAAAGATAAAAGAGGAGCACATATTCCACTCTGAAATCTTTTGGGAAGGGCAGGATAATTATATAATAATGATGACAGGCTAAACCCAATTGTTAGCGCCAACTCAGCCAGAATAGACAGCTTGATTCACTCGACCCATTCTAGTTGGGACTAACAATTGGATTGAGCCCAATGAATGATCATGGCTTCAAGTTCATTTCCTCCAACTGCATTTTTAACTATCTCCTTTTTGTACCTTCATTCTCAGATATCACCATGAGGGCGAGGAAGGAATGGCATCTTATTTTAACTATCAGTTAAAATAAGATGCCATTCAAAATAATTTATTATTTATTATTCAAAATACTTATACCCCACTTTTCTCCTCAAGAGGACTCGAGGTGGCTTACAATATCAAAACAAATATTTGTTTGTTTGTATCCCGCCTTTCTCCTCAAAAAGACCCAAACTGGCTTACATAATTAAGACATTATTTAAAAGCTAAAAACAGTAAGTATACAAATATTTAAAAAACAAATAAGCAAATGTTATATTAAAATGGTAACTAAGATCAATATTAAAATACATTTAAAACAACAGAGCACAACAATCCATTTAAAACCCCTCTCAGACCACCGGTCATTAAGGAAAAGCCAGTCTGAAGGGAAAGGTCTTTCCCTGCCTGCAGAAGGGCAGCAATGATGGGACTAGCCTAGGTTTCCGTGGGAGGGGGTTCCAGAGACTGGGAGCAGCGACAGAGAAGGCCCTCTCCTGTGTCCCCACCAAGCACTCCTATGAGGGTGGTGGGACTGAGAGAAAGTCCTCCCCTGATGATCTTAATGCCTGGGCAGGCTGATAGAGGGAGATACGGTCTTAAGCCATTCAGGGCTTTGTAGGTTAAAACCAGCACTTCTAATTGTGCCCGCAAACAGATTGGCAGCCAGTGCAGCTGCTGAAAGAGGGGAGTTGTATGTTCCCTGTAATCAACCCCAGTTAACAATCTGGCTTTGATATTTTGGACCCTTTGATGTTTCCAAACACTTTCCAAAGGCAGCCCCACCACATAGCGTGTTCCACAGTAATCCAACCAAGATGTACTAATTTTTTTTAAAAAAAACTACTGTGACATAAATTATTTTTATGGTTTTTATCATGCAACATTCTCATACAAATAAAGGTAGAACAATAAATTATTATAATATAGAAAATAATAAAACATAAATAAAAAAAACCTAATAGATAAAAACAGTATAACTGCTTTTCTAAAACCAATTTGAAATTATTGCTGTTGTCATTAATACACAGCAGCCCCTTTTTCAAAAACAACAACCAATCCCCTTTAGGCAGACAGATGTTGGGGGGCAAAACAGATCCCTGAGGGATGCCACAAGCTGACCACCAGTTCCCCAGCACTACCTTCTGAGTTCTCCGCTCTAGGAAGGACTGGAGCCACTGTAAAATGGAGAGATAGGCCATGGCTGATGCTACTGAAAGTCACTGACAGGTTCAGAAGAACCAACAAGAGCACATTTATCATGTCCAATTCCTGGCATAGATCATCCACCAAAGTGAACAGTCTCCCTCCCACAGTCAGGCCCGAAACCAGATTGAAACAGATTTAGATAATCCATCTGAGAAGCCACCACATGATCCGCTATCTGTCCCAGGAATGGAACATCATTTGAGACCGGCTACTAGTAGTTATCCAATACCATGGTGTTCAAGAAGGACTTTTTCATCAATAGTCTTACCATTGCCTCCTTTAAGCATGCTAAGATCTGGCCCTGCATCAGGAAGGTATTCACTACTTCTCCTATCCATTTGGCCAGTCCCCCTTGGGCACCTTTATAAGCCAGGAATGGAAGTCTCCAACACACACATGGAGGCCCTCACCTCTCTAAGGGTCCTGTCCACATCCTTAGGCTGTGAGGACGGAAACCTATCTATCAACACAAGAAAGTGGAGCCAACATTACATTAACAGGATCTGTATCAAATACAGCATCTAGGTCATTTATATCCCACTGTCTCCTCCAGTGAGCTGAAAGAGGTACAAATTGTTCACTTCTTCCCCGTTTTATCTTCACAACAGTCTGGTGAGGTAGGTGAGGGTGAAAAAGAGTTATTGGCCCAAGGGCACCCTGACGGTTTCATAGCAAAGTGGGGGGAATATTTTAATCTGCATCTCCCAACCAAAGTGTCATGCCATGGTCTCATTTTGAAACTCAACAGTTCTGATTACAAAGGCCTATAGGTCTGATCATAAATTGAATGGCAACTAAGTGACAAAAGAGTAGGCAATGGCCATCAATATCTACATCTGTATCATGTGCTAAATAGGAGAAGGAACATATTAGTTCTATTCTAAATGTTAACCAAGCTGATCAGAAGGCTTGGAATACAAGTATTGCTAGCTACTGCTGCAGAATGATAGTAAAGAAATGTTCTTATTTTCAGACTGGTAAAAGAGGAAGAAGTATAATATAATTTACATTAAACTCATCACATTTTGGAAATGTAGCCATAACATTCTTCCAAACAGAAAAGCTCACCCATTCCATGGCCATTTAAAAACTTATGTGACAAAAACATTAGTAGGTAGCAGCTTGTTTAATTCAGTGAAATACAGTAGAAATACGATAGAAGCTGTCCAGAAGAGGGCAGCACAAAACAGTCTTTAAATGATGGAGCATCTTTCTCTACAGTATATGGCAGAAGGGCATATTGTGCGTTTATTAAAAATTTAAATTTAAAAAATTGCAGACAGCATTGTGAGATCTTAAAATCTAACAGATTTAGTGCAGCATAAACTTATGTACATTACTGTAGCATTCCCTTTCATGTTATGACAAATCTGCTGGACTACGTACATGGTTCTAAAATATATTTTATTGCAGCAGGGGAGTGCATATGTATACAGTAGCACTTCAACATGGCTACTTTCTGGTATTTGTTAAAAAAGCTCTTCGATTTGAAATTCAAATATATAATCATCATGCCTCTAGGCAGACTGCCAAAACAAAGTGTTCAAAGTACACGAGTGTTATCTGCTATGTTAAACAGTAAATTCAATTCACACACATTACAGTGTGGTCCTAAAATGTCCAATATATATTACTGCTGTAGAAAGATAATAACACCAAGTTTATTATTCTTTTAAAAGCAATATGAAGACTGCAATCTTATACTCATTTACCTTGGAGAGCCTAGACTATTAGGTCCTTAAGCATTTATGCATTATTCCTGTTGAGGAAACTATTAATTGTACATCCAGGACAATAGAACTTACTTTCCTTTGTGGGCAATGGGTTTTTTTCTCTGGTTTCCGTTTTTTTCAGCTTGGTCTTATCAAATGTTTCAATTTCTGCAAAATCTGGTCTGTCAGACATGATGGAGCCTGACAAAGAGAGGAGAAACACACCCTTGGCTTTGTTAGCAATTGCCCCCATATTATCATCAACATGTAGTATATTTTACAATGTCTCTGAATACTGCGATTATTTGATGAAATGGAATACAGTACAAATGTTTCACATTAGAAGAAATAATGTATTTCTTATTTCTTTAAAAAGCAAAAACTGTAACAACAAATAAAAGAAGAAAGGGAGAAAGCTATTACATTTAATATTGGAACACATGTATTGATCCATTATGAAACAACTAAGACATACTTCTAAAAATTACATAGAAAGCAAAAAGCTAATGCACTGCAGTCAGGATTCTGAAATTGTCTAACAATGAATGATAATTTTACAAACCTATACAAAGGATCTTATTCAAAGAATGTTGTCTTTAGTACAGCTCCACCTTCCTCTAAAACCACAAAATAATACTTGGTTAGCTACTGTGCACAATTCTTTTTGACAATACAATGACAGATGCTTGGCTGCTTTGTTTGGCTCTCACCGTCTTCTGTGCTCTCTCTCTCTCTCTCTCTCTCTCTCTAACATGCTTCGCAAGGAATGGTTTTGCTTAGATGAATATTCTGCCATTAAACCTTCTTCAGATTATTCTTGTCTGCTGTGGTGATTTTGTTCAGGAACACTCAATACATCTCAGAAGAAATGGTGCTTCAGCCAGAAATGAAATTGACCCTGAGACTATTTTTTAAAAGCTGCCCTTTTATACAGATTATGAAAAGATGTGTGTATGTTATGTTTTTTGTATTTCTGGTGGCAGAAAAGATACTAAAGCCGTATGCTGCTACCTGTTCTGTTTCCCTTCCTTCTGCTGCGTTTTGACCATTTGAGCCAACATGGGTTTGAAAAGGTCATACCAATCCCTCCGCCCCATCTCAGCCCACCTTAATTAATATTGATAAGCTCGCTACCAGCGTAGTTCAACAAATGGCAACTTTTTTGTTCCCAGAGCAGGCTAGGTAGAGCTGGGGGAGAGCACCCAGGAGGGACGTCTATCCACACAGTAAACAATCAGGAAAGAGAGGAGTACTTTCTCTTCCCTTTCCTCCTTCTCCTGAGCCCATCTCATGACAAAACATACATACAGATATCTGGACATCTTTAGTGTGATCAAGTCACTTCTGATTTATAGCAACCCTAGTAGAGATTCCAAAGTATGTAAGATGTTTAAGAAGTGGGATTTGAACCCAGGTCTCCTGATTTTTAACCTGATAGTGCATTCAGAATAATACACTGGCTCTCTTCCTTAATATGTTGTTGTTGTTGTTTAGTCGTTAAGTCGTGTCCGACTCTTTGTGACCCCATGGACCAGAGCACACCAGGCCCTCCTGTCTTCCACTGCCTCCCGGAGTTTGGTCAAATTCATATTGGTAGTTTTGATGACACTGTCCATCTATCTCGTCCTCTGTCGTCCTCTTCTCTTGCCTTCAAATTTTTCCAACGTGAGGGTCTTTTCCAGGGAGTCTTCTGCTTCCTGCTCCAGGTGGATCACATTTAGTATTTATTTATTTATTTATTTATTTATTTAAAGGACTGTCACTATATATTTTTGATTTGATTTGATTTGATTTGATTTGATTTGATTTGATTTATACCCCGCCCATCTGGTCTAAAAGACCACTCTCCACTATGATGTGTCTGTGTTGGGTTGTCCCTGCATGGCATCGTTTCGTTTAGTCGTGTCCGACTCTTCGTGACCCCATGGACCAGAGCACGCCAGGACCTCCTATCTTCCACTGCCTCCCGGAGTTGTGTCAAATTCATGTTGGTTGCTTCGCAGACACTGTCCAGCCATGTCATCCTCTGTCGTCCCCTTCTCCTCTTCCCCTCACACTTTCCTAACATCAAGGTCTTTTCCAAGGAGTCTTCTCTTCTCATGAGATGGCCAAAGTACTGGAGCCTCAGCTTCAGGATCTGTCCCTCAAGTGAGCATTCAGAGTTGATTTCCTTTAGAACTGATAGGTTTGTTCTCCTTGCAGTCCAGGGGCTCTCAAGAGCCTCCTCCAGCACCACAATTCAAAGGCATCAATTCTTCGGCGGTCTGCTTTTTTATGGTCCAGCTCTCACTTCCATCAATCACGACAGGAAAAACCATAGCTTTGACTATTCGGACTTTTGTTGGCTAGGTGATGTCTTTGCTTTTTAAGATGCTGTCAAGGTTTGCCATCGCTTTCCTCCCAAGAAGCAGGCGTCTTTTAATTTCGTGGCTGCTGTCTCCATCTGCAGTGATCATGGAGCCCAAGAAAATAAAATCTGGCACTGCCTCCATATCTTCCCCTTCAATTTGCCCTGCATGGCATAGGCCATGGCTAATCTCAATTATTCAAGCCCCTTTGCCATGACAAGGCAGCAATCTGTGAAGGGGCTTCCTTAATATAGCTGTTCCTCTTTTATTTTTGGCTATTAGGATTCGCTATACTTTAATTTGTCTTGCATTTTGAAATCAATCACACAAAATGTACTTATTACATTTTGTGTCGCTCTGTTTCAATAAGGAACACACAGAGGAAGTTTATTTTTTCCAGGAAGACCAGATGGAGAGACAGCAACATACCCAAGGCTGTACAAGAAGTTCTTATGACCTAAGCAGAGATTTGAATCTGAGTTTCCCAAACTTCAGAACCAAAATGTCTGTCATCACACCATGTCAGCTTTCTTCTGGTGTGGGCAAGGCCCACTTTAGGCCTGTCCACAATCTTCTCAGTGTGGGCCTTAGTGGACAAAGTAGCCATTGCTTCAACCTCAGACTGACACCACCTGTTTTGTTATAATGGACTGTCCCATATTTGAATGAAAGCAAGTAGGTCAGTGTCCCTTATTTTCCTTTCCCACCCATCCACGTTCCGGGACAAGGCCTTTAGGTGACAGCTATTATGGATCTCCAATTGTATTTCTGAAAGGGGATCTCATATGAAATGTGCGTTATGTCATTAAGATCACCTCTTGTGTCTCGAAAAGCAGAAACATTATGAGTGAGCTGGATCACAATTACATTGGATTCTAAGGAATTTTTAAAGACAATCCCTGAAACCTGACCCAGGTCTTTGGCTTACAAACACTGGTAGTGTGTGTGTGTTTCTCACCAAGGCTTTGGTCATGGGCTAACTTTCTTCTCTTGTGTGGATAATCTGTTTCATCCTATACAAAAGACAGAAGGGCACTGCTGGCACTCTGATGGGAAATATAACACTTTACCAAGTCAGGGAATGCCCTAACCCTAACTTTATGCCAGTCAGTACAAGCAGAATTTGCATCACAAGACCAAGCAGTCGTAAGATCAAATCCACGTGACGGAGTGAGCGCCCGTCACTTGTCCCAGCTCCCACCAACCTAGCGGTTCAAAAGCATGCAAATGCAAGTAGATAAATAGGGACCACCTTGGTGGGAAGGTAACAGCGTTCCGTGTCTAAGTCGCACTGGCCATGTGACCACGGAAGATTGTCTTCAGACAAAACACTGGCTCTACGGCTTGGAAACGGGGATGAGCACCGCCCCCTAGAGTCGAACACGACTGGACAAATTTTGTTATAATGGACTGTCCCATATTTGAATGAAAGCAAGTAGGTCAGTGTCCCTTATTTTCCTTTCCCACCCATCCACGTTCCGGGACAAGGCCTTTAGGTGACAGCTATTATGGATCTCCAATTGTATTTCTGAAAGGGGATCTCATATGAAATGTGCGTTATGTCATTAAGATCACCTCTTGTGTCTCGAAAAGCAGAAACATTATGAGTGAGCTGGATCACAATTACATTGGATTCTAAGGAATTTTTAAAGACAATCCCTGAAACCTGACCCAGGTCTTTGGCTTACAAACACTGGTAGTGTGTGTGTGTTTCTCACCAAGGCTTTGGTCATGGGCTAACTTTCTTCTCTTGTGTGGATAATCTGTTTCATCCTATACAAAAGACAGAAGGGCACTGCTGGCACTCTGATGGGAAATATAACACTTTACCAAGTCAGGGAATGCCCTAACCCTAACTTTATGCCAGTCAGTACAAGCAGAATTTGCATCACAAGACCAAGCAGTCGTAAGATCAAATCCACGTGACGGAGTGAGCGCCCGTCACTTGTCCCAGCTCCCACCAACCTAGCGGTTCAAAAGCATGCAAATGCAAGTAGATAAATAGGGACCACCTTGGTGGGAAGGTAACAGCGTTCCGTGTCTAAGTCGCACTGGCCATGTGACCACGGAAGATTGTCTTCAGACAAAACACTGGCTCTACGGCTTGGAAACGGGGATGAGCACCGCCCCCTAGAGTCGAACACGACTGGACAAAAATTGTCAAGGGGAACCTTTTAAAAAAATTTATATACAGTATCACCTTGCACAATGACAGGTATAATTGTAACCCTTGTGACTTCCATCATCTGAATGCCCTTCTTCTCCCACAGCACAGTATTCCCAGCCAAATACTGTGCTGGCCATAGAATTCTAAATAGTTGGAATTTCTAGAAGTTCACTTGGTGCTTCACTTCAGTGATTATTATAACTGAAGCCCATAAAACCAGGAGCCCAAGTAGAAATCGATACAATTTGCATGTTACATGTAACAATAGCTCAATCAATGCTTTTCAAATACTTTAAGTAGAGGGAGAAGTGGGAAAGCCATGGAGGGCTAACCTCCAGGAAACCTCCAGTGATGCCCTCTTCTGTGGAATTCAGAACAAGTGTCTCAAAGGTAATTAGGCAATTGAAAATCAACATGGTTCAAAGTGGTGGTAGGATTTAGAGCAGATAAGGGTTGGGTAGGGAAGGGATTAAACACAATGCCATCTCTCAGCCCTCAGAGCTGCTTTCCCTAGGAAAATCATCCACAAGACTTTTGTGGTAGGCATTTGCATGTCGTGTATAGTTAGGGCTTGAGAATGAAATACTGTACTAGGTCTGGAAATATAAACACATTGAAGAATTCTTGCATTTGACATTTGTTTTGAAAGCACTCACACACACTGCTTCTCCCTTCTTCTAAATTGTGGGAAGGCAAAGGGCAGTTCTTGTCGGATTGCAGCTTTTATCAGTTCTAGCCATCACAGGCAAGGATAGGGAATGGTGAGAGTTGGATGCCTAAGAAGAACTGGGAAGCCACAGTTTGGATAGCTTGGTTCTCAAGTACTATTGCCCTGTAACTACGACACTAGGAACGCCTGTCTTAAGACATGAAAGCTATATACTGAGTTCCTGCGCAAAGTGCAGTATATGATTCCTATAATGATACATGTCTTTGAACAGAGAAGGCTGCAACCAGTTGTGTCTGAGACAGCTCCTGGAGACCACAATCAACCACTTAATAACCTTCACTTCTAATGTACAACTTACTAGTTGTTCTTCCTTTCCCTTCTTATACTATGCATAAAATTCCATACACTGTGGTGCCTGACCGGCTGGACTGGAAATATGTGAAGGAGACCTGTTATCATTATGATCATAATTTTGACATGGACTTCCTATTTGCTACCATGGATCTGAT